GGCCAGAGGCCCAGAGAGGAACCGCTATGGTAACCTGCTGCCTTTTTCTAGACCACTCTCTCTGAAAGCAATTCACCTCACCTCTTTACCTGTTCTAGAAACGTGTCTGTGATGTTGCAGTTGTTCTGGAGACTTCTTATGGTTTTCTGGGCTGTGGTGGCAGAGTGTGGGTGAAGTATGGCTTCAAGGCCATGTGTTGTTTTAGGGTTATTGTTACTCTTAAAAACTGACTCCCCGACTCAAATCTCTGAGGAAATCATTTTTCAGCAAAGCAATAAGAACCTGGAGTGTCCTTGCAAAGATGGAAGCATTTCAGACTAGCATATGGTACAAAATTTGACAGCAGTGTGGCTTCCCAGTGGTTTTTCCCGGTCAGGCCTCCTCTAACCAGCTAGCTCCCTTGCGCAAGTACAAGCCCCCAGTGCCCCAGCCTCTAAATGAACAGCAGCATAGCTTGCACAAAATCTCAGACTGAGTGCATTCAGTTGACCACATGTATGTACATGGTTCCTTTATTACAAATCTCTTTCCTATATACGTATAAAGAAGAGAACTGTGGCCAGGGTATGAGTGAGAGCACTTTATCCATTTACGTGAGTGTCATCTCTTATGTTACATCAGAAGCCCCAGAAAACTAGCTCTGGAGGAGGACTCCAAGAGTCTAGCTAGTCTTTTTTTTTCTTTGCTGGGAGCTCATTTCTATCTCAATATGGGGAGCAGCATTATTAATCATCTTTTCATCCGGTGATTTTTTCTTTCTGTGAATGGGTTATTAAATTCCTTCATGAGAGCAGATTTTCTTGGGTAAAGATGGTTGTGTGAGGGATGCAAAGAGGACAGGGCCATGAAAAGGCCCTGGGGACATGTCATTTGCCTTTTCCAAAACTTTCTGCCAATCACTTTATTGCTGTTCCAGTAGCTTTGTCCGATCCAGACGCCAGCAGTTATCGCCTGGCATCCATGGAGTGCTATTCCTCCATGTGGCATACTCCTGACACAATCTCCACTCTCTCAAAGTGGTCCACATTTCTGGATCTTGGAAACGGTCCATCTCCAAGGAGAGCCAGCTTATTGAAAGTCCCCTATCGCCTTCCCTGTCTCCCATCATTTGCAGATGAGGGGGCAAGCGACAGTGTCATGGTCGCTGCAGCAGCTGACAGAACTTCACCTGGCGCGCAGGCAGGAAGGGCCGAGTTGCCCACGAGATGAGCATGTATTTCAGAGGAAGACACGACTGATAGATTGCACATGTGCAGGTGGCATACTACACAAAAATGCCTGTCAGCACACACTTCCTGGAAACCTAGACGGAGTGTTGTTGGCAAAGCCGTATACCCCGAGTTTTCTAATTTATGCAGAAGCTGCAATGACTTGCCAAGTCCCAAGCCTGATGGACTATCTCTAAAGAAAGAGCTTCTTTCTAATCCATTAGATTCAATTCTGTGCAGGGTGAGCCTGCTGTGGCTGGGTCTTTGGGACTTGGAGATGACAGGTCTTACATTCTGTCACCCCTCTTAGTATTCAGGGACAACAGCCCAACAAAAGTTAAGACAGTCACATTCCCTGCCTTCCTCCTCCCTTCCTCCCTTCCTCCCTTCCTCCCTTCCTCCCTTCCTCCCTCCCTTCCTTCCTTCTTCCCTTCCTCTCTCCCTCCCTCCCTTCCTTCCTTCTTTTTGCTTGCTTGTTTTGTTTCATTTTAGTTCTTTAATAATCCTAGAAAATTACTGTATATGCAACATGAAGAGAACACAGAAACACTTATGTATTTGTACTCATAAAGCAAGCCTCAGATATATTCCTTAAATCCCACCCACTAGCACCCATGAACCCCTCTGGTGGGTGCCCAGAATCTATGGAGTCAAATTCTCACCCTCTGGGCATTGAATTTAGGTCCATGCCTCTACTTTATGCTTTGTCCCAGCATGGCTCGTGACCTCAAGACCCACATTTTCCACAAAATCAAACCAAGTTTCCAAGTTCCCCTCCCCCTCTTTCTCCTGCTTTGGGACTGCACTGTTTTTCATCTGGCATGTGACTAATTTCCCTGTCATCCTCTTAGGCCATGTGGCCCATCCAACAGCTTGCTAGGATTGTCTCTGCAGAGTGTGGAAAGAGCTATTCGCTGCCTGTGTGCAATTCATCTTCTCTAGTTCATGGCTAAGCAAGGCCAAAAGCCCAGATGCAGATAAGTGACAGTCCTTAACGTCTGAGCTCCTGTCCCTCCTGTAGAGAAGGGCTTACCATGATGCAATGCAGCCCTGTCCATGAGCTCGGTCTCTTTACCTGTTGTTCCTTCTGTCCTATTGGTCAGGAAAAGAGTTGGCCTCTTGGGGAGAGGAGGGTGTGCATAGGAATCAGCGGTGCACTTTTTTTTTTTTTTTTTTGGTTTTTACGAGACAGGGTTTCTCTGTATTGTTTTGGAGGCTATCGGTCCAGCCAGGCCTCGAACTCACAGAGATCCGCCTGCCTCTGTCTCCCGAGTGCTGGGATTAAAGGCGTGCGCCACCACTGCCCGGCTCAGCGGTGCACTTTTTACTCTGTAATTGACATCAAGAGAGCTTTGAGTTAGTTGGGCATGGTGGGGAATTCCTGTAATCCCACTGTGGTGGTTTGAACAAGAATGACCCCCACAGACTCATATTTGGATGCTGGATCCAAAGCTGGTGGAATTGTTTGAGAAGGCTTAGAAGGCATGGCCTTGTTGCAGGAGGTGTGTCACTGGAGGTGGGCTTTGAGGTTTCAAAACCCCACACTATTCCCAGCTAGCCCCCACCTCCATCTCTGCCTCATGCTTATGGATCAAGATGAAAGGTCTCAGCTACTTCTCCAGAGCCCAGCCTGCTTGCTGCCACACTCCCTTCTATGCTGGTCATGAACTCACCCTCTGAAACTTTAAGATATCCCCCAGTTAAATGTTTTCTTTTCTAAATCCCCTTGGGCTTGGCACTGTGTCTCTCCAGTAATAGAAAAGTAACTAAGACACCCAGCATTCCACATGCTGAAGCAGGATTGGACCATTTCCCTGTCATCAAGACCCAACGGTCTACACAGCAAGATCCTATCTCAGAACCACAAAAACAACCCCAGTAACTTAGTAGGTGTCAAGAACAAAGACTCTAAAAGCCCCCCTTGAATGGGCTGATTGGTGTGAAAAGGAATAGGGGTTGAGTCATGGAATCACACTTGCAAAAATGGTCAGTTTCTTCCTGTGCTCTAGGCCACCAGGTAGTAAGGACAGGAAAGTCGGGGGGGGGGGTATCTACAGTTAACTCTCCTGACATAGAATTAAGGGTGAATTTAAGTGGAATTTTGGGGAAGCTGGGAAAGGGAAAAGTTAAAGGAAGCCAAGAAAGGGGAAATTACCCATGACAAGATTCCACACGCCTGTTCAGGCGGCCTCCATTGCCGCTTCCTTCCTTCTGGAGTTGCCAACGGCAGAAAGATACAGTAGTCCAGCGTCTTGCACAGCCGCGCCCCCTCCCCCCCCCCTGTCAACGCTGGTAGGCGTAGGTCAAGAAGAGCAAAGACCCTGGGTCCGTCAGGCCCCACAGCTCTTTGTTTCCTTCCCCTGGGTCACCATCATCCCGACACGCCCTTTCCTATCTAAGGGCCGCTTTTTCTCCACTCGGCTCTGCACTCCACCCCTGCACCCCAGATGGACGCAGCAGGCAGGAGTCCCCCAGCTCAACCTCCCTTTCTGTTTGCATCTTGGAGCTGAAGGGATCTTGGGGCACGTGAGGAAGCTAGGCAGGTCTCCCAAAAGTCAGTTCTTTTCAAAGAGCAGAGGCCAGAGCCAGCTGTGGGCAGGATGGATCCTGGGAGCGTCTAAGCCAGTGGTTTGTGGGGGCCTGACAGGATAGGAGTGGGAACCAGAGTTGTTGTGACTGAAGGGAAATGAGTCAGGGTGAAGGAAAGTCCTGCTTTGATGCTGGGGACGGAGGAGTGAGAGGGCTTGCCAGACCACAGAGGAACCGGGCCAACTAACCTACTTTCGGCCACCAAAAGCAGAAAGCATGGGGGAAGGCAAGTGGAAACTGGATGGGGGGGCATCAAGGGAGTTCAGTGACCAAACAGCAGAGGCTGCCTCTGTTTCTGCAGATCTGCTCTTCACCAGATCCGTGTGTCTATAAAAAAAAGGACACAGATACTCCAAAGGGAACTAAGACTAACATGGAGGGAGCCTTCATTAAAATTACCAAAGCTGTGACATCTGAGGCAGGTGACCTGGCACCATGACAGGCCAGTGATAGAAACCCTACAACGACCTCTGAGATAGCCAGAGAGGACAATACTGTGACTCCTAGCTCATCCCAGGACAGGGTTTCCTTCCCAGGAAGTCAGGCCCCTGGTGACCAAGAAGAGCCAGGGATGGGTTTACTTACTCTTCAGCCCACAGGAATCTTTGGGAAAAGCCGCTTACATCAACCACTGTCTTTCAGCAGATAACTACATAAGCAAAAGGTGCCGGAACAATGGAGTATCATTCTGCCTCCAAAAGGGCAAGGGTTCTACAGTGTAGATGAATGACCTTGCGGTACATTGTGCTGAGTGACTACACCTATAAAGGACAGACACCGTGTCACTCCATGTCTGTGATGTATGCAATGTAGTCAGAATCACAGACACAGAAGGTAGAACGGTAGTGGCCAGGGGTTGGGAGAGCAAAGGATATCGGTTTTCACCAGGATAAAGTTCTGGAAGATGAGTGCATAGCAGTGTGCATATGTTTAATGCCACTGAGATGAATGTTTCATAATTATGGTGGTAATTCTAATGTAGCTGTACACTTTCTCTATGCACGCAAGCATGCACGCACGCTCGCACACACACCTATATCTATAGCCGTATCTATATATCTATATAGACAGACAGATGTGTGTAAAAATCTTCTGATGTCTGAGTCAATTCTGAAAGGGTCCCCTGAAATAAAGTCACAGGGCCCTGAATTTTCTATGGCCCTTTGCCCTCCCACGTTAATTGCTTTTATTTTTCCTCTGAAGCTTAAGGGGCACAGAAGAGATGGGGAACAAGATGAAGACGGAGCTGTTGTGTGTACTGCTGCTTTTCGGAGTGCTTTTCACCGTGCCTGGCCAGGTGGGTCCTCCTCCGTGCCTCACCCCGTTGTGCAATGTTTTACTCTTTTGACTCTTTGAGGGGCCCAGCTCCCAGATAAATCACACATGGAGGCATACTCTTACTTATGAATGCCCGGCCTTAGCTTGGCTTGTTGCTAGCCACCTTTTCTTAAATTAACCCATCTCCCTTTCCCCTCTGGGCTTTTAGCTTTCTTATATCTGTATCTTACTTTCCATCTTACTCTGTGGCTGGCTGGGTGGCTGGCTGAGTGGCTGTGTGGCTGGCTGAGTGGCTGTGTGGCTGGCTGGGTGGCTGGGTGGCTGTGTGGCTGGGTGGCTGTGTGGCTGGGTGGCTGGCTGGGTGGCTGGGTGGCTTGGTGGCTGTGTGGCTGGGTGGCTGGCTGGGTGGCTGTGTGGCTGGCTGGCTGTGTGGCTGGGTGGCTGTGTGGCTGGGTGGCTGGGTGGCTGGCTGGGTGGCTGGGTGGCTGGGTGGCTGGCTGGCTGTGTGGCTGGGTGGCTGGCTGGGTGGCTGTGTGGCTGGCTGGCTGTGTGGCTGGGTGGCTGTGTGGCTGGGTGGCTGGGTGGCTGGCTGGGTGGCTGGCTGGCTGTGTGGCTGGGTGGCTGGCCGGGTGGCTGTGTGGCTGGCTGGCTGTGTGGCTGGGTGGCTGGGTGGCTGGGTGGCTGTGTGGCTGTGTGGCTGGGTGGCTGGCTGGGTGGCTGGGTGGCTGGCTGGCTGTGTGGCTGGGTGGCTGGCTGGGTGGCTGGCTGGCTGTGTGGCTGGGTGGCTGGCTGGGTGGCTGTGTGGCTGGCTGGCTGTGTGGCTGGGTGGCTGTGTGGCTGTGTGGCTGGGTGGCTGGCTGGGTGGCTGGGTGGCTGGCTGGCTGTGTGGCTGGGTGGCTGGCTGGGTGGCTGGGTGGCTGGCTGGCTGTGTGGCTGGGTGGCTGGCTGGCTGGCTGGCTGTGTGGCTGGGTGGCTGGTTGGCTGGCCCCTGACATCCTCCTCTCCTTGTTCTCTTGCTCCTCCAATCCTCAGCTCCTACTTCTATTTGTCCTCTCTGCCTGCCAGCCCCACCTATCCTTGCTGCTGCCTCGCTATTGGCCGTTCATCTCTTTATTAGACCATCAGGTGTTTAGACAGGCACGGTAACACAGCTTCACAGAGTCAAACAAATGCAGCATAAGCAAAAGCCACCTGAAAATAACATTCCCCATCACCCATCACCCCATTGGGCCACCAAGCTCACAGATGTTCATGGTGTGACCCAGTGTTCATGCTTTCATGTCAGGATGGGAGAGGTTCCCGGGAGTGGTCACAGAAACACTGTGCACACTCCCCTCTGGGTAGGGTACTTAGAGTTCAAATCCCAGCAGCAGAATCCAAGCGTGTCTTAGACTGAACAATTCTGGATGCTGCTTCTGTGCCTTTGACGGCCTTTTTTAGAGCCAGTTTGTTAGCCAGTGAGAAGGGTGGTGAGGTGGGGAGATCACACCTTAACATTAGCATAGGCTTCAAAGGACCAAGGCCTGGGGTGAGGCTCAGGGGAAAGAGCTTGCACAGGGCCTGGACTGTGGTCCCCAGCCCAGGAAAAAAAAATGTACTTGAATGCATCCATAGGGTACTAAGAAAAGACAGGCATCACGAACTACTGAAGTAGGGGGACAGAGACTGTGCCCACTTTCCAAAACCTCACCTCAACACGGGGTACTGTAAAAGGCCAATTGGGCAACACTGGGGCGCAAAGACTTCTCATTATATAGCGTCCCAATGGCTACACAATGGACACAAGGAGCTGCAGCCTTACCATCCTCTGGAATCCGCTACCCATGCACCACTACTTAAATTTAAAATGACCTACAGAATTGGAATTGCAGTTCATCAGCCACATTCGCTACATTTTATGTACTCTGTGGCTATGTGGGATTAGTGACTAAGGCATTGGACAACACAAATTGGAAGCGTTTCTGTTGTGCCCGGAGTTCTTCTGGGTGACACTAGGTGTGTAGAAAGAGCAGAGACTTGACAAAAGGGTAAGAAAAGCATGCTGTAGCTGGGTCACTCACCCGAAGGAGGTGCTCCCGAGCAGGTGGCTCCTGGTCCATCTTCCCCAGTCTGAGCTGACCCCTCCTCCATCCTGGTCTCTCTACAGGGAATGCACAGCAGGTTCAGAAGAGGAGCCCGGTCCTACAGAGGTGAGGGGTAGAGGGGGAAGCGGGGGCCCAGGCCTCGTAATGCTTTTGGTTGTCAGGGGAATCAGTCTTCCACTTGCGGGATGGTTATGAGATCTTTCCAGGTGCTTTTGTGGAAATGTCTGCCTGCTCTCTACTTGTCAGTCAGCTGGGGCCAGCCAGCCCGGCTCCCAGGGGCAACCTAATCAGACTGTCAGAGGATAGTAAAGCTGGTGGGGGTGGCGCATGTCTACAATCCCAGCACCTGGGAGGCTGAGACAGGGGGATCATGGATTCAAGGCCAGTCTGGGCTGCACAGCAAGACCCTGTCTCAACATGGCTCAAAGTATTTGATGCAGAGATGAGGAAACAGCCCTGATGGGAGGAGCTGACCCACTCACTGAGGCTGCCAAAGGACCCCCAGCAGAACGTGGGAAGGCAGAGTGCCCAGTCCTCTCAGTGTTCCTGGACTGTGGGCTCACCAGTGTCCACTAAGTCCAGCTTCAGGTCCTTACCAACCCCCCCACCCCACCCTCCACCCTATCAACCCCCCTCCCCACCCTCCACCCTACCAACACCCTTCCACCCTCCACCCCTCTCTCTCACTATCTCTATCTCTCCCCTCCCTCCTTCTTTCCTTCCCAACTCCCTCCCCCCACCTCTCCTTTTCTCTCCTCTTTCTCTGCCTCTCCCTCCCTTCCTCTCCCTCATTCTTTCTTTGGTGGAGGTGAGGAGGCACTAGGCCTTTCTCCATGTCTCATTTTATTTTCTTTCTTTTTAATTTTATGATTTTTTTTTATTTTGGCTTTGGAGTTAGAGTCTCATTTTAATAGCCCAGTCTTGGACTGAGTGTGTAACTAATATAGGCTTCAAACCCAGCAATCCTCCTGTCTCAGCCTCCTAAGAGCTGAGATTACAGGCGGATATCGCCAAGCCCCGCTTTGGAACACTTCTCTAAACTCCGAAGAACAAATAAAAGGGTTCAGTGTCCCAAGACTGTCCCTTGTGGTGCTTTTGGAGCTGCTGTTTTTGGTAGAGGAGGAACTGGAGCAGAGGCTAGGGCTGTGCAGACTGCACAGCTCTGTGGCCTGAGAGGAGAGCCTGAACCCCGCTGAGATGCTGCCCAGCTTATAGGCCCAGCCCCCCACTTAGTGGATGACAGTTCTGGCTGGGGTGGGGCTCATCTGTCCTGCAAGGCTCTGCTGTTACTGGAAGCCAAGTTTAGGAAGATGATTGGAGACCCTTTTGGGATCTGGAGTCTCAGGTACTCTAATCTAGATAGACCGCCTTGCTATCACTGCTTTTTTGGGGTGGATACCGCATGAGTAAAATCCCTCAGTGGAGTCGGTGTCTGACTCAAAGCAAAGGAGACAGACATGACAAGGAGGATATGCCCGTTCCCACCCCACTCGCATCACCTCACCCTGTGGTCCAAGTCAATTCTGTTTTAGAAAAGCAGCTGCTAAATGCCTGCTATATTTTCATTGCATGACAAATACTACTGAAAGCAGCACATTTTCTGACAGGTGTAAGTGCTAGTTTTCCTTATTCTGAATGGTAATAGTCTATAGATTAGAAACCTGGTAGTCAGTTACGCAGAGAGGTATTGTTTTCACTGATTTTTGTTTGTTTGGTTGGTTGGTTTGTTTTCGCAAGATAGGGTTTCTCTGTGTAGCCCTGGCTTTTCTACAACTTGCTCTGTAGACCAGACTGGCCTTGAATCCAGAGATCTGCCTACTTCTGTCTCCTGAGTACTGGGATTAAAGGCATTTACCACTACCACCTCAGCCTTATTTTTGACTGATTAAAGTGGGAAAATAGACAATTAATATAAATTTATTTTCATAGTCAAATTATCTAAAAATAAAGGTTCATCAAAGGAAGATAATAATAATAATAATAAGAGAGTTTTCATGAAAAAATAAGCATTTATTATCACTATCATATTCCTAAAGAATACACAATAGATGATAGTCACCTGTATCTAGCAGAGGTTGGTTCTAGGGCTTCCCCGGGGTACCAAAATCCACAGATGCTTAAATCTCTTTCGTAAAATGACCTGGTATTTGTGCAAAACCCATCTTCCCATATACTTTCAGCCACTTCTAGATTATCCATGATATCTAATATACTACACGTACTGTGGCCCCAGATATAAAAATAATGGGGCATTATGACATATTTTGTAAGGAATAATGACAACAAAAACCACACATGTTCAGGACGGACTAGAGGCCTCACCACAGGGCCACTGTAACCTCACTACAGAACGCAGAGCTACGGAGGGTTTACTGTGTGTTGGAAGCAGAGCCAGGCTTTCCCCGTCTTGTGTCTGTCCGGAAAAGACAAGCCTGTTTTGTGTTGCAGTGACCTGCAGAGATGAACAGACACAGACAACTTACCAACACCGCCAGTCGTGGCTGCGCCCCATGCTTAGAAGCAATCGGGTGGAATACTGCCGGTGTAACGGTGGCTCCACGCAGTGCCACTCGGTGCCCGTCAAAAGTACGTACCCGGCCTCGAGCTCAGGGCCCAAACCCTTCCTTCATGGTTCCTGGCACATTCAGATCTTCTGCCCATATTCTGGGTGTGATCTGCCCAGGCAGAGGTGAAAGCACTTCAGAAAACTGAGGCGGGGGAGAGCCTTCACTTGCCCAGCCTCAGCGTCCACATATGTGACGTGGGAAGTAATACTCATACTTTGAGGCTGACACTGGGGTTAGCCGCGCTATCAACTGTGGAACAGTGGCTGACGTGCAGAATATTTTTGCAATTCTAACTCCTGTATTCTTGGAGCTACTTTGAAAGTAGTTAGGGGTTTCCTTGTCTACACTCTTTTGACAGGTTGCAGTGAGCCAAGATGCTTCAATGGGGGTATATGTCAGCAGGCCCTGTATTTCTCCGACTTTGTCTGCCAGTGCCCTGATGGATTTGTTGGGAAACGCTGTGACATAGGTGAGTGCTTTGGTGGATGGGTGTGAGAGACCTTCTGAAATCCTTCCTGTCAAACAGTCCAGGAAATGTTTGCTGGAGGGCGGGGTCCAGGGGAGGGGAGATAAGGTCATTTTGGGAATGACGGTAGTGGGCCATGTGGTCAGAGCCTGCACTGACAACCCACGGTCTAGCTCAGACACAGTATTGTGAGTGACCCTGTCCACCCGGCTCTCTGTGAGCTCCAGAGGCTTCAGCAGCCAGCCTGCTCCACTGTGCTGAGGGAAGGCAGAGTTCCCTTGTGAGCCCTTTGGTGTTTTTTTGTTTGTTTGTTTGTTTGTTTTTTTGTCAATCAGATACCAGAGCAGCATGCTTTGAGGGCCAGGGCATCACCTACAGGGGCACATGGAGCTCAGCAGAAAATGGGGCTGAGTGCATCAACTGGAATAGCAGTGTTCTGTCCCTGAAGCCTTACAACGCAAGGAGGCCAGATGCCATCAAGTTGGGCCTGGGGAATCATAATTACTGCAGGTGAGAGGTGTCTTCCACAGCGGTGTGTGTGTGTGTGTGTGTGTGTGTGTGTGTGTGTGTGTGTGTGATACGAAATATTACATTCAGGGGAAGATCTGGTCATCAGTCATGGATTCTAGAAAAGCAGAGCTGATGACCCTTAGACAGGTATATAGGTAGCTACCTAGATATATAAAATGCATGTATAAATAATATGCAGACGTGTAAGAGATGATACATGTATGCATACATAGATAGGCGATAGCATCAGTGCATTCATATATCAGTGACTGGTAGATTGACACTTCGATGGTAGGTATGGAGATAGAGGTTGATTTGAAGGCTGACATGAATTGACATTCATATCTCTGTGTAGGATCTGAATCTGTAACTGTAGGGCAGACCAACAGGCTGGGAACTCAGATAGGAATTACTATTGTTGTCTTGATGCTGTTGGGCCTTAAACTGCCTAGACAACGTGCACCCGCCTTGTCTGGGATAATTTAAACTCAACTGATTGTGGATGTTAGCCACAGCTACAAAACATCTTTATAGCAGTGCCTGGATCACAGTTTAATTATGTGCCTGAGACTATAGGTCAGCTGTGTTGACACACGGGTGGTTATTGTACACCCTTGTCAACTTGTCTCCCTTACACATTTCCTTATAATGTGCTTAATCCCCCAATAAAAAGCACAGTGGAATCATATTTCTGTCTAACATGATAAAACTTGACAGTATTCAGCCCAAGATGCACTAACCCTGTCCCCAACAGCATCCTAGTCCTTGGTCCAGGAGGGGAGGTGTCCTGTTCAACCCTCACTGGTCCTCCCTGGCTGATTTTTCAGAAACCCAGACCGAGACTCCAAGCCCTGGTGCTATGTCTTTAAGGCAGGGATGTATACCCCAGAGTTCTGCAGCACACCAGCTTGTCCTAAGGGTAAGTGACATCTACCCTGCACCTTTCCCTGAAGTATCCCCAAGGCAGGAGCATCTGGGATGGTAAAATCTAACAGACTTCCATGCCCCACAGGAAAGGGGCAGGCTAGGAGCTGTGTGGTAGCTTGTGAGAAGGTGGTATCCTCATCCAGCCTGTCTTCTACTATTTGCTTAGCCTTGGGCCCATTCCCTACCTCCCGCCAATACCCTCATCCGTAAAGCATAGAATGAAACTGAACCCATGGATTCTGGGCCTTTTGGTTTTAAAAAATAGTTTTATTTTTTGAGATTATAATTATTATATCATTTCCCCATCCCTTTCCTGTCTCCAAACCCTCCCATATGCACTTTGTTGCTCTTTTTAAAATCAATGACCTCTTTTTTCATTAATTGTTGTTACATGGCATATATATACATATATATATTCCTCTATACAACTCATGTACATATATATTTCTAACATTCGTTACTTGTAAGTATGTTTTCAGGCTATTTGGTACTGATTACCAATTGCTGTGCTCTTCTCTGGGGGAAGACTGTTTTGCTCTTTCTCGGCATTCCTCATTTGCCTGTGGCTCTCTCTGTGCGGGGTTGGGGCCCTATGGACTTTCTCGAATCTGCTTGGCAGACCTATTGTTGTTGTCCTTGTCCACCTTATGTTTAGGCGGTCATGGTGGTGAGACTTTATGAGCATAGCTTCTGACTTTCCTAGGAGATGCATTCTCATAGGAAACTCCTGGACCCTCTGGCTCTCACACAGTCTTTCCACCCCCTCTTCCGAAACGATTCCCAAGCCTTACATACAGTATCCATTGCGACTGGCCTCCACAACTCGCCATTTTGACTGGTCGCAGTTTCTTTCTGTAATGACCTCTCCATCTGTTCCCAAGAGGAGTTTCCTTGATGAGGGGTCAGGACTACACTTACTTCTGGGTATAAGAACAAATACTTAGAATGTAGTTAGGGATTATGCTGGTTCAGTGAAGGTTATAGGTTCCCCTCCAAGATCCATGACTTCAGTGGCCCTGAGTAGCTGGCTAGGTTTCCTGCACCAAGCATGGCTTCTCTTGCTGATCCCTTCCTCCTCACCTGGTCAGCATCAGAGTTCAAGGATCAAGGCAGCTCTACAGGTGCCTTTTCAACTGTAGTGAAGTAGAGAGGCAGACGTGGTCAGTTTCACACAGAGGGGAACGAGAGCAGGATGGGGCAAATAGACGGAAGAGGGCGAGGTTGACAGAGCAAAGCTGAGAGAGCCTGACTGCCAGCCTGCTCCCGTTGCAGCCTATCATGGCGACTCCTCTAATGCCTCCACAGCATCTCCCAGCACCATCACCGCCGACAGGACTCACCCCTTCCTGCTGAACCCCTGCAACTTGCTACATCAATGCTTAACCACTTTGGTGTTCCAGGAAGAAGTGAGGACTGCTATGTTGGAAAAGGGTTAACCTATCGTGGTACCCACAGCCTCACCACATCTAGGACCTCCTGCCTCCCGTGGAATTCCATGACCCTGATAGGCAAGAGTTACACAGCATGGAGGACCAACTCACAGGCACTCGGCCTGGGCAGACATAATTATTGCCGGTAGGTAGCTATGATCTAAGGGAGTCAGCTCCCAGCAGAGACCTGGGTTATCTGGTAAGAGAAGAGTCAATGTTAAGCATTACGTAGATGACGATGGACATGATCTAGCCAAACCTGTTACTTTTCTACCATTAGAATGTGTGTGTGTGTGTGTGTGTGTATGTATGTATACATACATACATACATACATACATACATACATACATAGTCTTTTTGTAAACATTGATTTTTTTTTGTATATGGTGCTCTTTCTGCAAGTACACTTGCTTGCCAAAAGAGGGCATCAGATCCCATTAGAGACAACTGTGAACCACCATGTGGTTGCTGGGAATTGAACTCAGGACCTCTCAACAACTGAGTTGGTTCTACAGCCCTAGACTTGTTTTTGAGAAACAAGATACATCAGTTTTCTTATTTTGGGTGGGAATGGGGTATATGTGTACTTGTTAATGTGGGTGTATGCACATCCATGAAAGTCCATGTATATACATTCATAGGTGTGTGTGTGTGTGTGTGTGTGTGTCTTTTTTTTCTCATCAATCTCTACTTTTACTTTTAGAGACAGAGTCTTTTACTGAACCTGAAGCTAATCCATTAGACTAAGCTGTCCCATGAATTTCAGAGACCTACTCTCTGCCCCCTACTCTCTGTCCCTCACTGGGACTACAGGAGCAGGTTGCCATACCTGGCTTTTTTATTTTTCCAGACAAGTCCTCACTATGTAGCCCTGGAATGCCTGGAGCTCACTATGTAGACAAGGCTAGCCCGGAACTTACGATGCAGGCAGAGATTTGCCTGCCTCTGTCTCCCAGACGCTGGGATGAAAGGTGTGCTCCACCACACACAGAACTGCTGGCTTTTTATGTGAGTTCTGGGAATTCAGACTCAGGTTCTCATGCGAGTGCCACAGGCACTTTACCCAGTGAGTCATCTTCCCCCCCCAGGATGAATAGATTGTGCAAACAAAACCCCTATTCTTTGCACTGCCGTAATATTGTATTGTAAAAATCTCTCCACCAGGCAGCTCTAGCTCTTCCCAATACTGTGTCACTGACAGAACAAATAGAAGCTAAAAGGAATTATCTTCCGGGGGGGGGCTGCTAGAGTCAAGAGGAGTTTGGCACCCCTGCTCCTGGCTTCTTGGTTCTGCCATGGGCCTACCTAATCTCCTTCTACTCCTGAGATGTGACTGTCAGTGAAGTTGTCAAACTCTTGTTTTACAGGAATCCAGATGGGGACGCCAAGCCCTGGTGCCATGTGATGAAGAATGGAAAGCTGACATGGGAGTACTGTGATGTGCCCCCGTGCTGTAAGGGCCACTCTTCCCCCCACCCCCAGGCTCATCTCTTCACTACTTTCTCTGCCATATCCTGTGTTTTCACCACTGTCTTAGCTTCTGCAGCTTCTGGACACGGGGCCTTTGGGCAGGGAGCTTTCATGACTGAAATGATGGTAGGCAGTCATTGTTATGATACCGTGCAAGGTGGGGGGGGGACCTTGTAAGGCCTCAGGGCAGGTGAGAGACAAACAGTTGATGCGACAGACAGAGAGACCTGCAGATGTAGCTTATACAGAAAGTTTACTGGTGGAAAGTAAGGGAGTAAGGGAAGGGGAGAGAGAAGAGAGAAAGAGCGAGAGAAAGATAGGGCTGCCTCCTCAGAGGAAAGGCAGAAAGAAGCGGGCAGAGCTTGCCTCTTAAAGGGACATTCGCACCTGCATGCAGACTTGAGTACTGCCTGCCGGGTCCCCAAGAGGCGAAGCCAGGTTTTCATTTGCCTACATGGTAACATTCATACTTGCCTAGATCTGTGGGGGTGATAGGGAGGGACAGAAAGGAAGACCGATGCATAAGATTCTTTTCAAATGCAACAGGCTCCGACTTTTCTCTCTGGCTACCTCTGAGGGAGGTGGTGATAGTCCTGGTGACCCTGAAGAGAAAGGGGCCTCACGTTGTGGCTCCCTAGGTAACAGTTGTTACATTTCTCCAGTAGCCTGGTGACAGGGAGACTCCAGTGTCCAATTATTCAAAATGCCCTCAGAAATCATGTGACCCACCAAGTTCTGTGCACTTCCAACATCCCCATGGAGCCCAGTTAACACAGGGGAACTGAGTTGATCATAGAGGGCAGGAGACAGAAAATTCAAGTTGGCACAAGTCCCCAGTGTGAAAGTTTAGCTTGGAAATTGCCCAAGAATAGATTACTACTCAGTCCCCACAAACACACAGAGATAAGCCAGAGTGTTCCTCAAAGAACAGACTCTAATTGGAAAGTAAGACACAAACTGAGGTCCCAGCCAAGGTCGTTTGTGATGGGTTCCTCTCAGGAAGTCCACAAGGACCTCAGAGGCCCTGATGTTAACTAGAGCCCTGTGATGAGGTGGGGCTTGACTTGACCTTGGAGGATGGATCGGGCCAAGTAGATGGAAAAGAAAAGGGTTTTCAGAAGGAAGTCTGCAAGACTGAATGATACCTTAAACCAAGAAATCACTGTTGGCAAGGCAGGAAGGGACGATGCACAGAAGAAAGACCCCTGCTTTTGGAGTCAGACGGACTTGGCTTCTAATCCGGGTGTCTCTGTGGCCTTCAATGGAGGTTTCCCTGCCTTCCTACAATTTAGTATTGGGAAGGACGCAGATACCACATATATAACATTTGGTATGTCACTGTGCTCAACAAAGGAAAGTTGTAGCTTTCACCATCATTGAGACAGTTAAATCATTCTGTATCAGCATGCTGCAGGGCAGTAGCCTGCAGAAATCAAGGTTCTAACAGGTAAAGAAAGCTATGTGGGGCCGGGCATTGGTGGCGCACACCTTTAATCCCAGCACTCGGGAGGCAGAGGCAGGTGGATCTCTGTGAGTTCGAAGCCAGCCTGGTCTACAGAGCGAGTTCCAGGACAGCCTCCCAAACAATACAGAGAAAAACCTGTCTTGAAAAACCAAAAAAGAAGAAGAAGAAGAAGAAGAAGAAGAAGAAGAAGAAGAAGAAGAAGAAGAAGAAGAAGAGGAAGAGGAAGAGGAAGAGGAAGAGGAAGAGGAAGAGGAAGAGGAAGAGGAAGAGGAAGAAGAGGAAGAGGAAGAGGAAGAGGAAGAGGAAAGAAAGCTATGTGGGATTCTCTCATCCCTGTCCCCACACTACAGGTCTGACCCACCCCCTCCTCTTTTCCTTCTCTCCAGCCACCTGTGGCCTGAGGCAATACAAACAGCCGCAGTTTCGAATTAAAGGAGGACTTTTCACGGACATCACCTCGCACCCTTGGCAGGCTGCCATCTTCGTCAAGAACAGGAGGTTTCCTGGAGAGAGATTCCTGTGTGGAGGGGTGCTGATCAATTCCTGCTGGGTGCTATCTGCCGCCCACTGCTTTGTGGAGAGGTATGGACTGCCCGGTCTCTGACGCGTTGGAGCCAGTCCTCGGATGTCACTCAAGGCAAAAACCAACAACAGTTTGTTTTTTTTTTTAAATTACAAAACATCTTCATGCTGTTTTTTTCTGCCCAGGTCTCCTCCCCAGGATCTTAAAGTGGTCTTGGGAAGAACATACAGGGTGGTGCCTGGAGAGGCGGAGCAGACATTTGAGATCGAAAAATATATAGTCCACGATGAATTTGATGATGACACTTACGACAATGACATCGGTAAAAGGCCATTATATTCACACACCCTTCCTTGTCACGCCGTCCCTCCCCTGGCTGAGTCACTCCTGTCCTCTCTGTCTCTCCCAGCATTACTGCAGCTGAGGTCAGATACCAGGCAGTGTGCCCGGGAAAGCAGCTCTGTCAGCACCGCCTGCCTTCCTGACCCCAACCTGCAGCTTCCCGACTGGACGGAGTGTGAGCTGTCTGGCTACGGCAAGCACGAGGAATGTAAGTGGAAGGAAGTCTTGGTCCCGCCCTTATCTGTCAAGTGGTAGTCAAGCAGACGGAGGGGACGTGGTCACACAATGTTCTGGTCCCAATTGTGGCATGACACAGAAAAACGCAGACGGAACTCTGCCTGTCCGTATGATGAGAGGCTGCTACCTGCTTCCTTGCATTGCGGGGACACTGCGTGTTGGTCACAGAAATTTGGGACAGGGAAGTGCTCTGAAGAGCTTTATAGTCCAGTAGAGACAGAAACGGAGGGTGTAAAGGTATGTGTGTTCTTAGACACTGGAGTTGTACAAGCTGAATTTGTATCCCAAGCTTGCATCTGGCTTAGCTGTGGGGCCCTGGCTGTGTCATTCAGTGTAACGGGCATTCTTCCTGCCCGCTGCCTGATTCCTGTTGCTGCTTTCAGCCCCCAAATAACACACACGGCACTATATTAATTATGAAGCTGTTGGCCTTTGCTTGGTTTCTTATCGGCTAGCTCTGGTTTGATTATTAACCCATAATTACTAATATATATTTCTGTAAGGACTTATCTTTCAGAGAACGCCAGACTTGCCTTCTTTCTTCCAGGGATCACATGGCAACGACTCTCTTCACTACATTTCCCAGAATCCTCCTAGACTCCTAGTCTCACCTATCTTGCTTCCCTATTGGCCAACAGTGCTTTATTGACATAAACACAGGACTTCCCCCATCAATTCAGCTTTTTAATGAGGTCAACGAACATGAGATAAATTAACCTAAAGACAGGAAAGCTTTGCTTGTGCTAATGGCTTTGGAAGTTTCAGACCATGGTCAGTTGGCCCAGTCTGTGAGCCTGTGCCAAAGCCATACATCATAGGAGGCGCCTACAGCAGTAGAAATGTGTTCCTCGGAGTAACACGCAAGCAAAGGGAGGAAAGGGAGTCTGGGTCTCAATATCTCTGCCACACTGTACCTTCCTTCTCCCAAAGCTACTTCCTAAAAGCTCAACCATCTCCGAAGAGCACCGCAGGTCTAGCCTTCAGCACACTGGCCTTTGAGGGAATGATTATCCAAGTCAGATGTGCATTTGTGTTACTTTATGAATGGGGGCTCATGGTGTTTCCTACACTGGTTTTCAACTTGCAGTCTCAGTGTCCCAGGGTTATAGGTGTGGACCATTAGATTGAGCTTAAACACTTTTTAATTTTTTTTTAATTACTGAAGCCTCAGTTTCCTCACTGCCAAAGTAGAAACAGGGCACACACCCTGATTACATTATAAGGGATAAATGACAGAAGGCTTGATTAAATCAATGGTTCTCACTTGGGTCGATTTCACCACCCAGGCCATGATTGCCAGTGTCTGGAATCATTGTGGCCAAGGTGTCACATGTCTGGCTGAAGGCTGATCCTGGCCTTTGGTTAGGAGGGAGAGGCTGCCAAACATCTGTGGTATACAGGACACTCATCATGATGGATAACTATCTAGCCCAACTGTCAGCTATGCTACTGAGAAACATGACTTCACCCTAGAAAAGTGCTGGAAGTCAAAATGGTGAAACGTAGATCATGTCCTAGGAGGCAACCTGATTTGGGTTAGCTCTGACTAGGAAATTAAGCTTTCTCTTTCCAAAAGGCTTGTAAGTCAGACTTAGACCCTAAGTCATCTGTATCTTCTCTTTCAGCATCTCCTTTCTTCTCTGATCGGCTGAAGGAAGCCCACGTGAGGCTGTACCCATCGAGTCGCTGTACTTCACAGCATTTGTCTAACAAAACCGTCACAAACAATATGCTCTGTGCTGGAGACACCCGAAGTGGAGGCAACCAAGATGTCCATGATGCATGCCAGGTAAACGTGATGAATGTCCCAAGGGCAGGGGGAAGTGGGAGCCATGGTGGAGCGTGTGACATTCAAAAGTGGAGCTTCAAAGAAGAAAACAATAAAGGTCAAAACTCCTCAAATTTAAGAAATCTAAATAGCAGTGCATTTTCTGGGTGTGAGGACAGGAAACTCTGCCTAGCGCAGGATTTCCCTGTAAGCCCCATTGAAATGACAGGTAAAACAACATGATTAAATCTTTGACTTCTGAAGGTCTTGGAGAACTTGGGCCTGCTTTGTAGGATGAGAAAAGGCATCCCCTTGGGATGCAAGATAAGGATAGGAGTTGAGAAAGAGTTCCCAAAGTGCAGCTTCAGCCAGGGAAGCCAAGCATTTTAGGTTCTGAGTCCTCACTGGACTTGGAATTCACATTTTCTGATTACTAAGGAGCTAGGAGGCAAGCACAGACAACAGCTGACATTGAGACCCAGATGGTGACCACCCGATTGAAGAAAAGCGAACCATAGTTCACTGAGACCATACAACTAATTAGTAGCAGAGTCCAAATCAGATTTTTTTAAAGTTCCTGGCTGACCTCAGATTCACAGGGAGCTACCTGTCTCTCCCTCCTAAGTAATGGGCTTAAAGGCATGCACTGCCATGGTACCCACTCAAATCAGCTTTTATAAAACTTGAGAAGTTTTTGTTTCCTGGGTGCCGAGAATGGAGCTCTTGGCTTTTTAACTGCTCCACTGCTGAACCATACCCCAGCTCCGAACAGTTATCTTAAGTCTGTGTGTTTTGGGTTTTAGTGGATATTTTTATTTATTCATTTATTTATTTTGAGATGCAGTCTCATTCACTGTGTGGTCCTGAGTGGCATGGAACCCTATTTGTAGACCAGGCTGGCCTTGAACTCAGAAATCCACCTCCCTCTGTCTTTTGAATGCTGTGATTAAAGGAGTGTGCCATCATGCCAGGCTTTTAATGCTGCTTTACTAGAATTTAGATACAGCCTAATCTATAGTCTCAAGTCTCCCTCCCAGAACCAAGTTCTTTGAGGAGTACGATCTTCACACTACAAATAGCAATCCAAATTTTCTTCCTAATACTGTGCCGTTCATACAAACAACTGATCTATGCTTCTCCACAGGGTGACTCGGGAGGACCGCTGGTGTGTATGGTCAATAAACACATGACCTTGGTTGGCATCATCAGCTGGGGCATTGGCTGCGGGCAGAAGGATGTCCCTGGGGTATACACAAAGGTCACTAATTACCTAGACTGGATTCAAGACAACATGAAGCAATGACCAAGAAAACCCAGCTCCTTGGATCCGGAGGAGGATCTGCCTTCCTCTTCAGTAGAAGACACACCCAACAGGCCAAGTGTCCTCTACTCTATCATCCGTCTACACTGCCCCTCGGCAGAGGGATGGAGGGTCTATAGGAGAGGATGTAGCATGTATCTGTGGTAGGTACTTGACGCAAGTTTTCAGGGATGAAGGTCTGATTTTGGGATAAAATCTGTCTGATGAGAAGATGAGAAAACACCAGCCCTCCCATAACTCTAGGATTTAAAAGGGAAGGGAAGACCAAAGTCCACCACGAGACACAAGATCATGTCTCAACAGTAAAGTACGGCTTGATCTTTCAGGAGAGGAAGTTTGCATTAGGGACAAGAATACGTACTTATAGCTGTTACAGGAGGACCCAGTAGGGCCTCTAGGAGACAGAAATGTTGGCTGGCTAGATCACAGCCCCATACTCTCCACCCCTTCCCGCCCCTCGACTCCTGGAAGGCATTCCTTTGTATACAGTGTAAATCTTTTCTTTATAAACTTTATAGATGGTTGGGAGAACTGCGCGATTTCAATAATTGATGAAGTAGCATCAGCATATTTATATATTAATCTATTTTAGTGTTTACTTTGTTACCGTAACTCTGTATTATACTGTACTTAAATAATAAATCCAGAAGTATTTTTCACACTTTTCAAATGGTATGTAACCATGGCTTATTTGTGTTCACATTCTTTTTTTTTTGAGTCAGTTGAAAGACTTCCTTTCATTCAGTCAACATGTGGAAATCCTGCTTACCCCCAAGGCAATATGCATGGTGCCACCAACAGTAGAAATGGGGGTGGGGAGAGCTGGCACGGACGAGGGGCATTCATACAAGTGAAGTGGAATGGAGCCGGTCCCAGCACAGCAGAGACCTCACTGGACCTCAGCTGTGAGAGTGGGAAGGGACCATCAGGGGAAGGAGGAGGGTTTTCACAAATTCAGAAGGGTCTTCACCCAATGGGTAAGACAGGGCAGTTGCAGTCAGGCAAGTCTTGAGACCCAGAATTTCCCTCTTGCAACAACAAAGACTTGGTGGCCTAAGCGGCAAAAGAGTACAGGAAATGAGTGACAGGTTTTTTTGTTTGTTTGTTTGTTTGCTGTTTTAAATTTAAATTTAAATTAGAAACAAAGTTGCCTCACAAGTCAGTTCCAGGTCCCTCTCCCTTTCCCTCCCCTCCTCCCGTGCCCCCCCCCCCGTGACAGTTTTTATTGAGTGTGGGGGAGGGCAAGTTTACCGGTGCATGTGTGAAGGTCAGAGGATACCCACAAGAGTTGGTTCTTTGTTTCCACCACATGGATCCTGGGGATTAGACTCGGGTTATCTGACTTAGCCACAGGCACCTGCGAACACAGGGCTGGGGGGGGGTTGGATTTAGAACTTTGGGTGTGTTAAAGAAGTACTCTACCATTGAGCTAGCTATATCCCCAACCTCATCTGAACTTGATCAGGACTGTAGATCGGAGGCTAGGGACTCTGAAGGCCAAAATGAGTGTTTTGCTCCAAGAGGTGATAAATGAAAATCTGTGAAATCATCCACACTATGACCACGGTCTGAGTAGACAGTCGCATGATTCTGTGGACAGTAACTACAGCAACACAGGGCAGAAAAACCCCAAAGCGTCTCTTACTAACATAGCAACGGCTCAACTGATGGCTCATACGAGATGCTACTATCTGGGTTGCTTTTTCCCTCCCCATTCTGTTTTGTTTTTTGCTCCTCAGAAACAATTAGCTCACAGACCATTGCACACAAGTATGCTGCTTGCGTCCTGCTGCTCTAGTAACTCCTTTAGTGTGTGTGACGTGGGTCTGAGGGTGTGTCCACCCACAGCGCAGATGTAAAGGTCAGGGGACAACTTTCAGAAGTCATCTCTCCCCTTCTGCCATAGGTTGGAGGATGAAGCGTTAGACCTGTGCCGTGGGCACTCTTTGAAGCTGACCTCTTGCTGGTCCTTGGACACGTCTTACCAGTCGTGGAATACAACCTCTCTCCATTGTCTCCTGCTTTCTTTACCACATCTTAGTTCCAAGAATCTGTCTCATGATGCAATGCTTGCTCTCGGGTGTGGCTGGGTAAAAAAAAAAAAAAATTGGAAGAAAGGTCTTTCTTATCTCTTGAGGGTTTGTCAGTACTGCCCTGTTGGAGGCTCTTAGAAGAAAAATAGTTTAAACTCACAAAAGCAATTCACCATAGCCCAAGAACTTGATGTCGGGAGTGTTGGGAGGTTTCCCAAAATCTATGAAGTCCCCAGAGCAGTTCCATCAATTTGAATCAGAGACTAAGTCACAGATTTCTTAACTTCACACAAGTCTGCCTTCAGGGTTTGATCTAAGATTTTAGGCAGAAATACATCTCATCCCTTTCCTGAAAACACAGCTTGAGCCCAGCTATAAGCAAGGCTCTCACCCCAGGCCTGCCGATCATCGCAGCTGGCTTCACCCTTCCCCCACTGGACAAGAGTTTCTTCAGATGAAACTGAAGCCGAAGAGCCTCCTGGGAATACAAAGTCAAAAGGCCCCAACATTCCTGTGTGGAGTCCTGGAAACCAGACACAAATGAAGACAATTGCTGACTCTAGTGGAGCAGTGTCCAACAAGACAGTCGTGTGAATCACCCCAAAGGGTCAGAGTGGCACATCCCTCCCTGCCCAGTATTCGTTAAGAAATGTGGGGTTCGATGTCTGGAATTCACCAGAGGAAGGGAATGAGTCAAAGGAAAGTAAATGTTTCCCATTATTCCTGACTGATTAATAAGAGGCCAACAGAACTGAGGAGCAAGTGAGGCCCCAGGTAACTGTATGGGTTGCTTTTGGTTGTTAAAGAGCACAGAGCCCTGGTCTTGGCCCCCCCCCCCCCCCAGAGCCCCGCCCTGTACATCAACTCCATATACAAAAGATGAGCACACAATCCTTAATATTTGAGACCTGCTTGGCTTTCTCTTTCCTTTTTAAAGCCATTACCAATTAGAAACAGTATTGATGGCATCTAGTTATCACCTACCGGCATAGAAGGAAACATAAGTAGATAACATTTCCTGCTGCCAATGCCCCCCCCAACCATCCAGACTGAGGCAAGAATACAACAGTCAGCCCTGATCCGAAGGGAGCATGCTCTAAGATCCCAGTGGATGTCTGGAGACTGATAGCACCTACCCCTACAAAGTCTGATTCTCCTCTACGTTGTATCCACATTGTATATTACAACCAGATACAGTAAGGCATTAGTGACACTAATGGCAGAGTAGAACCAGTTAGACTCACAGGTGTCTCTTGTTCCAGGGAATCCCTAAGTCTCAGACTCAGCTCAGCATGGAGGGACAGCAGCAGTCAGGGGACTGTTTTCTTCACATCTCCCCCAATGATACTGATGCCTTTGCCGATCACCTCCAAGGCACTGCAGCGTCAGCGTCGAATTGTACGCATTTTCTCCTGCTTAAAACTTCCGTTAGAAAGGTTGTTCTTGCTGAGAGCTCAGCAAACTTCACATGTGATTGTTTTTCTTACTGGGATCTTTGAATTTCTCAATGAGAAGAAGCATTCTCTTTCAGCTTTCTTGGCTTTCCTTTGACCTCTCCAGACTCCCTTGGCACTCCTACTCTGTGAGTGAAGGTTCCTTGAACACAGAGTGTGACAGCAAGAGAGCTGATTAAGAGTGAAGACAGGCTCTTAGTGAGCAGCAAGCAGTGTAGGCACTGGACACGACCTGTGTCCAGGGAAAGACAGCATCTGATAGGGTAGGATGGGATGGAGGTCAGTTAAAGACTTCATCAGACTGCTCAGGATGGTACACAACTTGGATGTTACCTTTCCCTGGAATTTTCCATTTTGTATTCTCAGAATGCAGTTGCTAGGGAAGTGTGTGTGTGTGGGGGGGGGGTACTGTACTAGAGAATGTCAGAGAAGTGGTCACAAACTGGTTCCATCAGTAAAGGTGCTTACAACCAAGCCCAATGACTTGAGTTTAGTCCTCCAGACTCAGACAATGGAAGGAGAGAACTGACTCCCACAAACTCTCCCTTTATTCCCATATACAGGCTGTGGCTTATATAACCCCCATCGGCTTCCACAGACACAGACATACATATGCAAGGTTAATGTCTCAGAGACACAGAAACTGAACTTGTAATGAGCACCATATACTTCCAAGGAGTCAACAGAAATCTGTCAAAATTCAGTTTAGAAATGTGCCTGCATGTTGTTGTTGACTGGCAGCAATAGACCCCGAGTCCGGTTCAAATGAGAATTGCTCCCCACAGGCTCATATGTCTGGATACTTGGTGCCCAGTTGGTGAGATTGTGTGGAAAGGACTAGGAGGTGTGTCACTGGCAGTGGGCTTTGAGATTTCAAAGGCCAGCACCATTTCCAGTGTGCTGTCTGCCTCCTGCTCGTGGATCAAGACGTGAGCTCTCAGCTGTTCTTACAGCCTTGCCTTTGCTTGGCTATCGTGGACTCTAAGCCTCTGAAACCGTAAGCCCAATGAAGCGTTTCATTTTATAAGCTGCCTTGGTCATGGGGTTTTGTCACAGGCACCCCTGATGCCCACCTACCCCAGAAGCCTCTACAAGAAACATCTGTGACTTGCAGCTCTGCTTCCTGAAGCAAGGACATGGAAAACACTGAGGCTCTAGGAAAATTATCAGATTCCTCTGGACCTCAGATGTCACCAACTTCACAAACAGCACCGGCACCAGCATGACCTGCTACGGAATAATCCTTCTGCACAATGTGGAGATTTGTCACTTGGATTGGTTTAATAAAAAGCTGACTGGCTTGCAGTTAGACAGGAAGTATAGGTGGGATTAGCCAGACACAGAGGAGGCTGGGAAGGAGGAGGGCAGAGTCAAAGGAAACCGCCAGCAGACACACAGTCAGGACGTGTAGAAAATGAATTAACAAGCCATGAACCACATGACAGAGGGTATATAAGAAGTATGAGTTAATTTAAAATGTAAGAATTAGCTAGTAGCAAGCCTGAGCTATTGGCCCAGCATTTATAATTAATATGAAGACTGGTTATTTGGGATCAGATGGTTGGGACCGGAAAACTCCGCCTACATGACCTGTCTCCCAGGGGTGACTGGATGGAGAGTCACTCTACACATGGCTTTAGATGTCACAAATAAGCACCTTCTACTTAGAGAAACATAGTAGAGAGCTACTGGTAATCTCAGTAATCAGACAGAGACCGGAGGACTGGTAAAGCTTTATTAAGACTTAAACAGAAATGCTACTTCCACACATGGACCACACAAGAGTGAGGAGTTACTGAGACACCCTGAACTACCCCCCTACTAACTGACAGTCACTGGGTGGGGACAGTCAGGCCTGGCTATATCCACGATGTCTAGGCCTGCAGGTCCCATATTCCAACACTGTTTCTTTCTAGGTAGACAAGCTATACAGTGCTAGATGGAATAATGGAACCACACTTATGAACCTAAACATATTCAAGGACCAATATCAATAGTTTCCTGTGACACAAGAAACCTTGAAATCCTGAGGAGCCTGTGGAAGTGACTTCACGTCCTGGAAGCCATCTGCAGAGTGTCTCCCTCCATGCTGGGTGTGCGGAGTTACTAGTCCGGATTCTGGAGTGGAGCAGTAAGAATCAGCTGATTGTACACAGCACACATCACCCCACAAGAAAACCACAAGGAAACTCCACTCAGCAGCAAAAAATAAGTACTGGTCAGCAAGAGAAAACTAGCCAGAAAACTAAAATAAAAAATAAAGCACAGGTACTTACAAACAGGACTTTAGGGGAGAGTTGTGTGAACTGAAGGAAACGGGCCTTCCTTCCCTCCACGAACAACACAGAGCAAAGATGCTCCCTAGGCTGTAACAACAGAGCCCACCATCTATGTAGATATTACAATGAGTAATGGACACACTGGAACAGATTGAGAAATACTCTTCAGGAAAGCCAAGCTCCTTCGGTTGCCATGGTTGAAACTGGTGGGTTACTGGAGCTAATACAGCCTGCCTTCCTATGGCATTTGATTTTATCCAAAGGTTCAAGACACCTCCTTAAAAGTGGACTGGGAGCTGTCAATAGATAGATAGATGACAGTGTACAGGAAGTGGGAATGAGCTTCAGGAACTCATGTCCTCAGTGTGCCTGTGCCCACTCGGGGCTTCTGATGGGAACCTTCAGACAGGAAGGGCAAGGCCTAGGGCCAGTCCAGCCTGACAAACACGAGTGGAGATCACCATATATAGGCATGGTCCACGTCTGTGGGACCTGAGTTCCCATCTCAAGTCCACTACCATAATTCATAAAATCTGGCTGCACCACTGTTTGGGGGGAGTTCCCACTGAGGAGTCAGATAACCGGCAAAAGACCGTAGCCTGCTCTGGCAGATCGCCTTCCGACCAAGATGATGGGCCAGCCCAAATAGCAAGTCTAAGCGAGAAACAAAAACCAGGACATAGCTCTCCAGTCTCCAAGGGAAACTGATCCCATTGCAAGTTCACATCAAGGATGGTCTTGAGCTCTGAAAGTCCTGGACGTGCAAATGTTTTCTATACATGAGAAGGGGCAGAAAGAAACCCCTGCACTCTGCTCCTCGTAGCCCCTGTGGAAACACGCACTGCTTGCTTTCCCGGCCAATCCTTCACGGTAGCATCTCATCACAACTCTCTTCATACCAGCTTCTCTGTCTTGTCCCTCATAGAGCAGATCTGCTTTGCATTGCTGGTGGTGTTAGGAATGAGCAGGGGGGGCTTGCACACAACCTACCCCAGCACTCCACCACTGAGTCACAATCCGACCCACACGTTAAGTCAGCAACTGGTCTTTCTTGGATTCACACTTATCCTTTTTGTCTTTCAAATCTTTCTATCTTAAAAAAAAAATTCAATAGAGACATCTTCAATTGGATTTAGATAATTAAAACCAAACATACAGCAAATGCTGTTGTTTTGTTTTGTTTTGTTTGGCCCCTGAGGCAACCGTGTTAAAAGCAGTGAAATACAATGTGACGTATCACTGCTCTCCACCATACATTTCCCTAGAACTCAGTCAGTGCCGTGCTGGGTTTGGCCACCTTTTCCCCGATGAACCTTTTCTCCCTTGATCAGTTACATGGCACTGCAGACTGGAGACAAAAGGGAGCAGACGGAGCCTGGAGGGAACTGACCTAAGAAACAGGCTGACATTTTACTTTTAGACAAGTAAGAAATGAAAAAGTGTTCATGACTGCTCCTCCAGTAACACACGCCCTTCAGGTTCGAACTTGGAACTTGCCGGCTTTGGTCATGTATTTTATGCCCTTAAAAGGCTTGTACTTCTCTCCGTACATATCCAGGCGGTTCACTTTGAGTCCTGGAGGGAAGAAGGAAGAGAGGAGTAAGGGGCGAGCATCCCTCAGGAGCAGCAGCAGGCAGCTGTCTGGGTTTGTGCTAGTACAGAAGAGACTGTGGAAGAGACTTTCTAAGGAGCCCATTCTGCAAAGCAGAGGCAGACAGCCCTGCCATCTTGTTATGTACATTTGCAGCAAAGATTATGTCAGCAAACAGCTCTCCTGGGAGAAGACCTCCTCTCAGTGGGAAGGGCAGAGAGTCAAACAGATTGCAACGAGGGTGAGGACAAAAATAACAATGTGTTTCGCCCAAGTTATTGGACTGAATGAATGATAAAAGCATTAATGAATAATGAAAGGAATTGATCAATGAAGGCATCCTAAACAGTCTTGCCAAACTGAACAGAAATTATTTTGTCGATAGATTTATGGCCTATTAAGTGGTTTAGGAGAAAGAACATATCACTTAACTTTAATCACTTAAGTTAAAGATCTTTTAGTAAAGAAACCCAAGAGTGTTCTCTAAAGATAAAGCCCATTTCTTTCTCAGGCTTTCAGAAGGCCATTCTAAAAGTCTAACAAGAATTTTTAAAAATGCTTAGGGATAGATGGGACATAACAAATACCCAGAAAAATGGTATCTCTTATTACGCTCTTAAGTGCGGTCAAACTGGTCAAGACTGGCAACGTCTAAAGACAGCACGAGCAAACAGCAAAGTCTGCTGAAGCCGGGAGAATTGTGGGGCTTATTTCTTCCCATTCCTGGTGAAGATTATAGGTGTACCCTCATAGTGAAAACCTTGGACAGCTCAAATCAAGGACATAGGCACGATTCAACAATGGTGTGGGAAGACCTCCCCTGACATACTTCTTACTGGTCCCAGACATTATGACTCAGGGTCTTAATGCTAACTTCTAAGTAGTCTGAACTGGGAAAGATCTCACTGAGGATTGCATACTGGGTATGAACCAGACCTAGTGTGACTTATTGTCAGAGAGCCCCAGAAGACACTGAGGTCCGCCCCTGGCAGAAGATAACCATTTCCACTCCTTTCAAAACCACTCAAGATGTGTCACTCACCAGAAATGGCCAGCTGCTGGATCTTAAACTGTAGGTTAATTGTGGGGTTCTCATCTGGTTTAGAAGCTCCGACCTGAAGACTCATTGTCCCCTTCAAACTTGGTAGCTTTTGTGGGTTTATTTTTCCTACATCCCAAGACAGCATCTTGGAAGAAAACAGAGAAGGGGGTTTTCCCACACAATCACAGTGATGTTTTCATCTGAACTCAGAGCCTCAAGGCATCTGCCTTCTACACTATAAGCCATCTCTGCTGAGGGGAGGGTTCCATAGAGAAGCCTCTGTCAAAGGTCTTTAGAACCATGTCCCTTTGATTAATCTTGCCTTCCAGTCAGGTAGGTATACAGCCTGTGTTGAGGGTCCCCTACCTTTGTCACAGGGTCAAACGTGTGTGTCCCCTGGGATGGAGTGAGGCTCATATTCAGGACTC